ACCTTATGGGAGTAAGTACGACGGAGATACACCACTCTGGGAGAGGATCAACCTATCTCGATTATATTGGGATAAGCACTATATTTATATACACAGGAAAACAGGATAGGGTTGGCTTATAGATGTGGGACATATGGATTAGGCAGGACAACCTCAGCCTCATGAAGACCACACTGGCTCAACAGACGTGGCAGCTGTGTTCCTAGGTGGCGAGCTTTCTCAAGCCAGGAGAGCCAAACACAGGGAAGCTTTCTCTACTCCATATTGAAGGCTGCTGGGAGGCTTGCACCTGTCTGGAGCTCAGGTAATCCATCCTGGCCGTAGATACTCCCTTCCTCCCCAACATTCCTGAACAGTCGTGGCTTTTCGCTTTCCCATTTTTATCTTGATTTTTTAACCAATTGCTGTGCAATATAGTTTATCAACATGGACAAGTTTGGAGTGCCCCTTTAAAACTTCCCATACTGATTTGTGTTCATTCAGAGGTGCCTTGGAAGACAGGCCTGGCAATCCACTTCTGAAAGCTCTGAGCCACTGAAAACCCCATGGAGCACAGTGCTGCTTTCACACATATAGGGATGCCATCAGCCCAACAGCAGCTGGTGCACAGCTCAGGTCACTGCTGTCCCAGCTGGATGCAGCAGAACTGAGCTCTGCCTGCCTGGTGCTCACAGAAGGACAGAGTTATAACTGGACACCCCATGCACACCTGGCATTGCTGCCAGCCAAACAAGGAACTATTCACGTGTTCTCAAAGCCTTGGAAGTAAGGCCTGGCAACCTACTACCACAAGAACCATCCTTTGAAAACACTACGGTATCCAGTTCTACTCTGATGCACACAGAGGAAATGTGAGTTGCAGCAACTTGTTTAGTCTCAGTTTTTACAAATCCATACTCCCTTGCCTCACCTCACTTCAGACCCTGCCTTGCATACACACCCTCCCACTTGCCTACAGGGGTTACCCAGCAGTTGCACCACATGCTTTTCTTTCTGGCTGTGAGCACAGTGATGCTTCAGTCCTGGGCTGGCATTTGGAGACAGGAGGTGGGGAAGGAGTTCTCACAGGTGCTCCAGTCAGGTGGGGCTGCATGGTGTGCAGTATGATTAAGGTGGCAAGGAAGGAGCTTCACAGTCCCCCCTGCCTAGTCCTTGGTGTGAACAGGAAGTGGAGAGCTCTGGGGCCTGAGTGGAGCTGGTCCGTTCAGGGCTCAGATGGGCAGAGACACGGGAAGTGGGAGCTGGAAGAGAGACCCCCAAGCAGTGTCTTCCGTGAACCAGATTCAGAGGCCCTGGGCTTGGAGCCTGTGCTTTTGCAGAATCTGGCTGAGGATTCACTGCATGTCTTCATCCATCAGGCTCTGGAGAATTGGGGAGCAGAAGGCTTGAGGGTTCCTGCCCTGGACTCCCGTTCTTTTTCTACCTCAGCTACGATCCAGCAAGCTTACCCAGGGGATGAATATGGAATGGTTAAACAGACCATGGAACTCTCTCAAGATCAGACTCCCTAGATATAGATGTGGAAACTGAGGTCCAGAGAGCAGCAGGGGGCTGTCTGAAGCCAGATGGGCCCCTTGTCAGGAGCCAAGTGGGGAACTCATGCCCATTAGATTCACCTGAACAGCATAAAGCAAGTGACTCCGGAACAAGGCCACCATGACCCTGTGTTCTCTGGAAGCCCCCTGTGAAGCGAGGGGTGGTCAGGAGTTTTGACACCCTCAGAGATGCTCCAAAACCCACTGTGCACTCAGACATCGTATTTGCCGATACAGATCAGTGCAACCAGGAGAATGGCTGTTTTTGTTTTATTGACTCTGTAAAGATAATTGATTGTGTGACTCATAAGAAAGTGTGGCTAACATTGAGAAGACCAGAAATTTCAGAATATTTGATTATATTTATATGAAATCTATTCCTAGACCAGAAACCGTTGTCCAAGGGAGCTAGGGGACACTGCAGGTTTTAATATGAGAAAAGGTGTGCATAAAGGCTGTATCATCTCTCCAAATGTACTCAATCTGTATGCTGAGTAAGTGATTTCAGAAACTGGACTCTATGAAGAGGATTGTGACATCAGGATCAGATGAACGCTCATCAACAGCCTGTGTTGTGCAGATGACACTACCTTGCTTGCTGAAAATGAGAAGGACGAGAATCACTTGCTGCAGTCTTCAGTATGGATTACATCTCAACCTTAAGAAAACAAAGATCCTCACTACTGGACCAATAGGTAATATCATGAAAGATGGAGAAAAGACTAAAACTGTTAACTATTTCATCTTACTTGGACCCACAGTCAACACCCTTGGTACCAGCAGTTAGGAGATTGGGAGACATAGAACATTGAAAAGGTCTGCTTTCAGGGATCTCTTCAAAGTCTTGAAGAGTAATGAGGTCAATTTAAAGACTAAGATGCACCTGACATAAGCTGAGATTTCTAAATCAACTGTGATGCAGCTGAGAGCTGGACAATGAATAAAGATAATAGGAAAATTGATAGAATTGTGTGGTGGTGCTGGAGAAGAGTGCTGAATATCCCATGGACTTTTTAAAAAATTTTATTTATTTTTCATTTCGATGAATATCTACAGAGATTTTGGAATTCCATTCATTCATTCTTGCACCCTTCTCCCCGACCCCCTCCTCCCCCTCTCCTCCCCCCATGGACTTTTAAAGAACAAAGAGAAAAGTCTTGGAGAAGGAGCAGCCTGAGTGCTCTTTGGAGGCAAAGATGGTCACTCTTCATTGCACATATTATGGACATGTTTATGGAGAGGCTATTTCTTGGAAAAGGACATCATGTTTGGAAAGGTAGAGGATCCGCAAAAGAGAAGAAGACCCTCAATGAGATGGACTGGTACAGTATCTGCACCAATAGGCTCCTGTGTGGAGGATGATGAGAAAGGGTAGGACAGAGTTCAGATCTATTATTCACAGGGCTGTTATGACTCAGAGATGACTCTAAGGCACTTAACATCAGTAATAATGAAGCTGTCTCTGTAGCTGTGTCTCTGTCTCTATCCTCCCCCTCCTCTCTGTCTCTCCTGACACTTTGTTTTTCTCTCCCCTTGTTTATGCCTCTGGAAGGAAGGATGGAACGATAGGCCTTGCTGGGAAGTCCGAGCCTCAGGGCCCCCACGTGTCCCTTTCGGTCTCTGCCTCACTGCTCTGGACATTCCAAGCCCTTCCTGACCCACCCACTGGGTCCAAGGGTAGGGCCAATATCTAGGCTGCTGAACACTCAGCCCTATTTAAAGGGAGTCAATTCCCAGAGGAGTGCTCTGTGGTATCAGGACATACCTTCACCAGAAAGAATTGGCCAGAGAGTCTCCAGTGCACTCCTCTCAGCCCCAGGAAGCGCCAGAATGGTCCTCCTGCTTCTCCTGACCTTGATGCTCTCAGCCAGCTGCATATTAAATGTTAGAACTGAAGGTGCGAAGGGCCTGGTGGTGGGACGGAAAGGGGTTCCCAAGACTGGGCTGACCTGAGAGCTAGACTTTGACTATTAGATCTGGACATACAGTGTGGGACGTGGGTGGACTCACTCACAGAACGTGTGTCTATTGAATGAGAGTCACTGTGCCCATGTTATGGATGGGAAAAGGCATAGATATTGGCCATGATAAACACAAACATGTAGAACACTAGAGAAGCAGGTGAAATACGGGATTAGGAGACCAGGCTGTGGACTGGTCGGCAGTTTCACTCCACCAGCTGCTCTGTGGATCAATGAGGATTTTTCTCCCTGTTCACACCAACAGTCTCAGGCTGTCACCACAGATACAGATACGGATACAAACACAGAGGGGTCAGGATGCCTGGTTATGGTGCTGGGGGATGCGCTTGGTTGCTGAGCAAAATTTGGGAAACAAATCCACACAGTGAACCTGCTGGAGAATGGCCTGTCCATCTGTTCCCACAGTGGTTTCCAGCTATTTTAACTGCAGATACATGGTCGTGCAAATCACAAACAGCTGTAGGACTAGAATAAGAGAGAGTGCTTCCCACATTACACAGCAAGACTTGGGAAGAGCAAGGCTTGTGACAACAACACGTGAGGGAGGTTGAAACAAGACCATAGTGAGAGTGAGACAGGGATGGTGGAGAGATAGTGACATTGCTGTGAAAGAAACTGGCAAACTAGGTCACAGTTAAAGGTTTTTTTCTGTTCTTCTTGGATGCATGAAGGAGAAGCTGACTTATAAGTATTCTGAGTCAAATCTTGCTGGACGCTTAGGATTTGACTGTTGAACTGAAACCAGAGCCTGAACTAACTGAGGTGCTGTGTCTTGGAATTTGGGCTGAAACCTTGACTTGATTTGGGTGATATTCTTTGACTTCTCTACTCTCCAACTTACTTCTATAATAAACTCCCTTCTCAGTAAAATAACTGTGAGTCTGTGAGTCAGCAATAAACAGACAAACCTCTTGCTTCTGCTGTGGGTGTAGAAACCCCAGGGGGCTGGTTTAGAGGCTCTTTATCTTTTTTCTGCTCTAGGGCTGGGATGGGCTATGCTATTCTTAGTCTCTGTGATTTTGTTTCAGAGAGACACTCATGCCCCTCTGCTCTCATGGCTCATCCACCCCATCTAGGCCATAGTCTTTACAATTACTTGCTATGCAACTAAAAGCGAGACAGTGACTAGACATGATAAAAGGAGAATTGATGCCTTTGAGCTGTAGTGCTGGGGAAGAGTATTTCATAAACCACTAACAGAAAGGAGAACAAACCGGTTCCTTCTAAAGAGGGTGAAAGCAGGCTGCTCCTTGGCCACAAGGATTCTGAAGCTTCTTCTGACATGTTAGGGACATGTTGCAAGGAAGGATCAGTCCTTGGAGAGGGACCTCATGCTTGGGACAATCGAGGGACTGCAAAAGAGAGGAATACCCTTGATGAGATGTATTAATTCAGTAACTGGTATAATGGGGTTCGTGTGTCAGAGACAATAAGATTGGCACAGAACAGAGCAGGGTTTAGGGCTGTTGTAAGCAGGGTCGACATGAATCGTTTCAACTTGACATCACGTAACAACAGACAGTGATACATAACGGTGACTAGTCATGGAAGCAAGTCCTCAACAAGGAGTTTAAACACATTTAGTTTTGCTTTTCTAACAGCTTGTTCCCCAGCAGTCTCACTCTCATGTTTCTTCCTTTCCCCCAGTGTATAGAAACCTGAAGGTAAAGTGTCGATCCTCCATGTACCCGGTCGCGGTAAATTGCTTCTGGACACACTTCCCACCTCTAAATGACACCATACACGTCGAATACATCGCCACATACAGGTAAGAGAGCCACAGGGGAGACCAACCTTCTTGGAGACCCCACAGTTTCGAGAGCAGACTGGGGTTCAGTGACCCTGGAGGTCCATCAGAAGAAACACCTCGTGATCAACTTCTGACCCAGCAGCCACTCAGATCCTGTGGGGCCTGTCCTGTACTGAAGCACATGTGGTTGACCACTGGTTTTATTCTGAGCTCATAAAACTTGCCATTGAAGTAACTGACACACAGGTCATTATGTTCCAAAGGACATTTAAATATATTTCACTAATTTAAAAAGTGCTAGCTTGGAACTCTGGTGGTGTAGTCCATGAGGAGTTGAGCTGCTGACCCAAAGTCCATGCCTGTCTGGAAGTTCAAATCCACTAGCCATTCCAAAGGTCAAAGATAAGCATTCTCCTCCCATGTGATTTACAGCCCCAGAGACCTGATGGGGACGGGGAGTTCGCAATTCTGAGTCCCTTCTATATTCTCAGCAATGAGTTTGATATTTTTTCTTTGTGTGCTGTGAATGTCATGTGTCAGCATGCTAAATGGAAGTCATTGGTTCAAGTCCACTAGCTGCTCCAAAGAAGACAGATGAGTAGTTTCCTCCCTTAATGATTTATATCTTCAGAGTCAGGTGATGGGCTTGGAATCCATGGATGTGCCAGATGGACAGGGTCCTCAAGGATCTCTGAGGGTCAGACCTCAAACTCGGTCCTCCAGAGTCTCAAAGGGACAGAATTAACTCAATAGTGATGACTTTGGCTTAAGAATTGCTAAGAAACTGTAGGAAAATTTAAATTAGGGAATATGATATGGAATGAGGTCATGCTAGAGGCACTTCTACGTCACAAGTGTTCCATATCCACACTTGAGTGGTGCCTCATGGCAGGTCTAGAGCAGGACACAGAGCCTTGTCCCCATCCCCTGGCATCTCAGACACCCAGCCCCTCACAGTGTCCATCTCCTGCAGGGTTGGATACAACAAATCTGCAGAGACCAAGACCTGCTTCCAGGAGACACCCAGCTCCCCAACCTGCATCTTGGATGAAATCGTAGTGTTATCCAAAGAGCCTCACGTGCTCAATGTCACAGCCATCCTCCCTGGGGGCATCAACACTACCCTCTTTCCCTTTGTGCCTGAGGAATTCAGTGAGTGGGGGCATGTGGGGTGGGGGTGGAGGCTACCAGGGGACTCCAGCACCTGTCTCCTCTCTCTACTTGACCTCCAATCCTGTCCTTTCTGTAATCTATACAGATTCTGCCCACTTTGTCCCCACTCCTCCTCCACTTGGTCCAGCCCTGGTCTCTCAGCCCCTACAAACTGTTCTCCAGTTTGTAGCCAGAGGGCGCCCGTGAGCATGGGAATCTGGTCCAGGTCTCTGCCCACCGCCCTTCAGGGAACCTACCTTTCCCGGGTAAAAAGCCAAGTGCTCGCTGTATGACGGAGTCCTGCTCACCCTGCTCTGTCCTTTCTTTGCCCTCCTCTCCTTCTCTTTCCTCTTTTCACTCCACTCCGGCCACCTAGGCTTTCTTCCTCTCCCTCTAACTCGTCCAGCACATAGAGCAGCAGGGACTTTGCACAGACTCCTCCCTCTGCCTGGAAGGCCTTTCCCACAGATACCACCTGGCTTCCCCTGAACTTGCTGCAGGAATCTGCTCATGTGCCACCTCCTCTGGGTGGCTTTCCCTGAGTACGATGTTAAAACTTGCAAACCCTCACCCAATGCTGATGGGAAAGTAAGGCGGTGCAAGAGCTTTAGGGAAGAGTCAGCAGTTCCTCAGAAAGCTAATTATAGACTCCTATACAACAGTGAAGGAGCATTGAAGCACAGTGGCTCAAGGACCTGGCTGATAGTCCAGTGGTTAGTGGTTCAAACGTATCAGCAGCTTCCCTGGAAAAAGTGTCTCTAATTTAGATCATCAGATGCCCATATTTGCTGTTGAGGCAGCCTTAACACAGAGACCCCATGTACGACTGAGTGACACTGGCTGGTCCTGAGCCAGCCCCACAGCCGCCACTGTGCCTCACCTGTCGCAGTCATCTGCCATTCACTCCAACCCACCTCACTAAGGGGTTTCCTCACTTTTGCTGACCGACTTTTTCCCAAGGTTGGTGTCCTTTTCCAGGGATTTGTCCTTGCTTATAACACACTCAAATTTTGTGAGATGAAGTCTCCTTCCATCTTGCTATAAGGTGCATCCTGAGTAATCTTCCTTCCAGAAAGATCTGTCTGTTACGTCTGGCAGTCCATGTTGTATTTAATATTTTTCACCAATCCCATAACTCCAAGGCATCAATTTCCCTTGATCTTCCTTATTATCTGATTTATTCATGCATATGAAGGGGTTGAAAATACATTGGTGCCTGCTAGGTAGGTGCACCTTAGTCTTTGAGATGGAATCCTTCCTTGGCCGTAAACCCAAAATATCATTTCTCCTTCATCTTACAGTTCTGTCAGTCAGAACAGATTCACTTGAGGTGTTAATATAACACTGCAACAGGGTCACACACCAGTGTGTACCTTAGTGTTCATATCAACATTACTCCTAAAACCCAAAGTGTGGAAGCAATCTGAATGTCCATTATCAGACGATGGAGAAACACGATGTGTCCAGCTCTCCTGTTACTCAGAAGGTGGAAGCACTGCAACACTCTGCTCCATGGATGAGGAGGAGGAGTAGAAGCAGCTGGTCACAAAGGACCATGTGTTGAGTCCATTTCCTTGCAGCACGGAGAACAGGCAAACCCATAGAGTGATTATTGGCTGCCTGGGGCTTAGGGCAGTGGAGAGTGGGCAGTGGCTGCTGGAGGGTCTGCATTTCCTTTGGGGCTGATGAAAATGTTCTAGAATTTGACTGGGGATATTTGCACAACCTGGTGAATGAACATAATACCCTGAATTGGTAGCTTTCGGATGAGTAGAGGGGACTCAGTGTCCCTACAGCCTGCCAGAGGACAACTGTGAGTGTGGGAAGGAGGATGTGTAACAGCTTTAAAAAAATACATATTAAAATGTAGTTTGTTTTTAAAACAACAACCCACTCCCAAATTTTGGTGTGGGCTCTGTGTGAGCTGCTGTATCCTCTCCTGTTTCTTGCCATCTCTTTGACAACTAGAAGCTCCAGGAAGTCAGAACTGGGGTGGTTTCTGTCTTAGTTCTGTTTCTGGTTTGGGTCAGCACTGGACATGCAGGTGGTGCTTAATACATACTTGTTGGTTGAATGAATGAATGAATGAATGAATGCATGTCTTCTGCTTGTCCATCAGTCAAACCGAACCCTCCGGTGATTGTTGATGTGAGGCCCGTCTCTAAGAATCTGGTGCAGGTGACGTGGTATGCCCCTTCGTCATGGCCCTTCCCTGAAAGGTTCCCACTCAAATACCATCTTCGCTACAGTTGCTGCAAATCTAACTGCTCCCGACAGGTGAGGAGCACGAGAGGGAGGGTAGAAATGGGCCTGGAGTGGTACCGGGTATGACCACCCTTGGTAGATGGCACACCACATGCAAACTGTTAGGGTCAGCAGGGCTTGTGCGCACTTTGGGGTGACTGGTGTGTAATATAAAGGAAGTCAGCAATTTCACCCCCCAGAGGTCCACCCATGAGATGAAAACGCACCCCCACACATCAGCGTCCCCTGCAGCTCTCTTAGCGAGAGCCAGGAGGAGGACCAGCAGAGGGTCCATCAGCAGGTGGTCTGTCTGCACAGAAACATGAATCCCCCTTCGTTGAATTCTTGGTGCCACTGCGTCAGTGTCGACTCATCATGACCTCGTGTGTGCCCTCCCTGTGCCGCACTCACTGGCATCGCTGTGCTTGTTCTCATTGGTCAGTACAGTGTTGTTCACATCACTGCAGCTCTTTCTCTTTCTCAAATTACTGTTGTGGATTAGCTCTGACCCAGGCCCTGGCCAGGTCTGCCCACTCAACACCCCACTCTGTGGCCCCATCTGGACAGTCTCCTTGTCGACCCATCTTTCTGAGTAACTCCAGTCTCACTGACTTTACTTCATCGAGCATGAAATCTTCCTCCAGAACTGGCCCATCCCCATAACATCCTCAAAGTAATTCTACTCACAGAGTGTGCTCAGAATAACCAAAGAACTCAGACACATTGACATGCGTGTTCAAGAGAAGAACACGAGTTACAGAGGCTTAGAGGTAGAAACAAAACAGCCTGCTGTCCCTTCTCTCGAGAGTGGTTTTACAGAGCACACTCCATTTATACAGAGGATTGCTATTTGGCCATGTAAAGAAATGAGATCCTGATATATGCTGGGGGCTGAGACATGATGCCAAGTGAAAACAGCCAGACACAGAAGATGGATGGCATGCTCTATGAGTCCATTTATATGAAACATCCAGAGTAGGTAAGCACATAGAGACAGGAGACAGATTAAAGGCATAGAGTGCAAGGAGGTTACTTTTAGGACTAAGGTGTGCCGGACACAAGTCATGGGACTTCAACTGTCCCCTAAGCATGTGAAAGCTGGACAAAGAATAAGGAAGACTTAAGAATCTACGCCTTTGAACTAGAGTGCTGGTGAAGATTTTTGAATACCGTCGTGGTGACCAAAGCATTAATACATCTGTGTAGAGAGTGCACGTCAATATTTCCTGAGAAGAAAGGGTGATGAGATTTTTATCTCACAAACTTTGTGCATGGTATCATGAAGAGCCATTCCCTGGAGAAGGACATCACGTGTGAAAAGCAGAGTGTCAGTATATGAGGAAGACCCTCATTGACATGGATTGATACAGTGAGTGCTACAATGGGTTCAAGTACAGCTGAGATGTGCGGTGAAGGTGGAAACTGGTGGGGGGGGGATAGGTTAGAAAGGGAAGGGCCCAAGGGGTGTGTGTGTGTGTGTGTGTGTGTGTGTGTGTGTAATGCTGTTTGGAATGAAGCCTGATCCCATAGAGGGGGGGACTGAAGGCTGCCTCATGCTCTGCTATTCAAGTCACTCATCCCCTCTCTATTCTCAGGTGGGCCCCACTGAAGACACCACCTTAATTATCAAGGCACTGCAACCGAAGGGCAAGTACTGCATTCAGGTCAAAGCTCAGCATTACTTGGACTATGGGCAGCCAAGCGAATGGAGTCCTGCTGCTGTTTACACTATCACTCCATTCAAGTAGTGGTGTCCGTCCTCACAGTATCCCTGCAGAGGTGCTCATGATGGCATGCTGGCCTGAATTCAAGTCACTGACTTTGCTGCTGTGTTCCTGGTCTACCTCAGACCAGTAACTTTAACCTATCTGAGCCTCAATTTCCTCTTCTGCGAAATGGAGATGTTCTTCCTCTTTGTCCCACAATGTTCGACTTTGAAATTTGAAAGTGAGAATCTATGTCGCTTTATTAAAAAAAAAAATGTTATTGAAATCCAGAGTCTTCCTCCTTTCATTCAGTGGACATGAATGAAAATCTGCTGGTATCTCAGACCTGGGCTCTGTCATCTCAAAGGTGAGATGACAGGGCCAAACAAGAGAAAGACACAACCAATTGCTGTTCTCCTGGTGTTAGTGCTGACCGTGGGGGCTTGGAGAGGGAGACTTATGGCTGGGGGAGCTGGACTTGGAAGGTTTCTCTGAGGAGAATGTGGAGCAGCAAGGTCTTGAAAAGCAGAGAATGTCCAAGGGCTTGTCTGCATTTCATTTGTTCACCTCAAAGATAGGTCAGCCCTAAGTATCCATCTGGGCCAGTAGAATAATTTCCCTCAAAGATGTCCTTGTCATAATCCCCAGAATCTGCATGCAAAGCAAAAAGGACTCTCCTAACGTGATTAACGTGAGGTCCTTGGTACAGGGGATTATTCTGGATTATTGAATATTGTAATCACAACGGCTCCTATAATAGGAAGACAAGATATTTTGTCATAGATTGAATTGTATCCCCCCAAATACATATCAATGTGGATGGACTGTGATTTCCAGAGGTGCATCAGCTAAGCAATGATGATGATAAAATATAATAAAATAATGGTGATCTCCTTTGATGAGATTATAAGATCCCCAGTGTAAGAGGACTGGGTTGAGTTGCAGCCCCCTCACTCAGGTCACAGCCTTTTAAGGGGCTCTCCCTGGATATGGTCTGAGTCATCTAATATTTAACAAGAGAATAAAGGAGAGGGAAACGAGCAGAAAAGGAAGACCCACCAGATAGAAGAGCTGGGAGCAGAGTGCCTCTTTGGACTAGGAGTCCCTGTGCTGAGAACCTTCTAGACCCAGAGGGAAGACTGATTTCAAGTTACACGGATCTCCAAGGAATGCTGACCCTATAGATGTTGGAAAGAGACAGGGATGTCCCTAGGGGCTGCTGGAGAGAGAAAGCCTTCCCTTGAGTCAGTGCCCTGGATACAGTGTGAGTCAGAGCAGGAAATGTGAGCAAGGACTCAGAGCCAAGGACCATGTAGAACCATTAGCCAAGGAAATCAGGAGCTCTCTAGACAGTAGAAAGCACAAGGACATTTATCCACCGTGCAGCCACTAAAACAATAAAGCTCCAGCTACCTATTTCAGGCTTCTGACCTCTGAGTTTCTAAGATCAAAGTTTTGTTATCTGTGAAGCCACTACATTTTTTTGTGATTTGTTAGAAAGGTAATTGGCAGCTCCTACATACACTATGTAGCACAAGACCGTGCCCAGCACTTTCTGTACATCAGCTTCATTTATTATCTAGAGTATTCAGTTGTTGTTGTGTTGTCAATTGATATTGTGCCAATTTCAACTCATAATATTCCATTTGACACAGGTTTTCTTAGCTACAATTAATGTATTCCTTAGAAATACTTTTTAAAGATATAAATGGCTACTTTATACATGGATATTACTAGGTGAAATACAGAGAAATGAAGTAGATTACTTCTTTGGAAAGAGATGATGGAGAAATGTTCCTGTAAGGAAGACCATCAGAATGTTCTTTAGAAAGAAGGGTCATGAGATTTCATCTCATGGACGTTTGGACATGAGATCAGGAGGTTCCTGTGCCCAGAGAAAGCCATCGTGCTTGGTTATGTAGAGGAAGATGCCCAGTGAGGCAGAGCGATGCAGTCTAGGCAATGATGGGGCAGAACAGCAACAGCTGAGAGGACGGCACAGGACCAGCCAGCACAGCATTGTGTTGCTCATAAAATAATGAATTGGAACTGATTCAACAAAACCTAAGAACAATAATTGTTACAGAAGTGCATCTCCAGGTCTTTCTTTGCCAGAACAGTCAATCTTTTGGAAAAGATCCTAACACTAACTGGTGGTGTAATGTCACAGTGTGGAGCTATTAATTAAAAGTCCACTGGTTAGAAACCACTAGCTGCTCCGTGGCAGAATGATGGGGCAGATTCCTCCTAATAGTGTGTCCAAAAAGACAAAACTTCACCATTCTTGTCTCCAAGGAATACCCTGCTTGACCTTTCTCCAAAACATGTTTGTTCTTTCAGCAATCCCTGGGATATTCAGGACTCTTCTCTAACCTCACAACGCAAAGGCATCATCAATTCTTCCATCATCTTTATTCATTGTTAGATTTTCATACGCACAAATAATGAAAAAGATAATGTTTTAATCAAATGAACCCCAGTCTTTAAACGGGCATTGTTGCTCCTTTACTCCTTGTGCTGTATCACAAGATGATATCAAAGACCTCTGATAGAATCTTTTCGCAATGCGGCATGGCTTTTGATTTCTTGACTGCTGGTTCCAAGGCTGTTGATTTGATTTTATTCACTTTAAAAACAATACAGTCTAAAGAGGAGACGTCTGATACATTGTTGTTGATATTATTGCTACATGCCATTGAGTCGCTTGCGACCCATAGTGACCCTATTTACAAGAGCCTTGAACGCTGTTCTATCCTGTACCAACCACACCTTCTCAAACACACTCATTCCCACCACTCCACTCAAAGAATTGATCCATCTCATCGAGGGTCTTCCTCTCCTGTGCCGTCCCACCACTCTCCCAACCATGATGTTCCTCTCCAAGGACCAGTC